TATATATATATATATATATATATATATATATATATATATATATATATATATATATATATATATATATATATATCTATCTATCTATCTATATATCTCTATGACACAGACTCGTGTCGGGTGTTGGCTTCAGTTCTTGAGACTAGGAACAGAAACGACGTGTAAGAAGAGCAGTCTTTGGGTCAGATGAGTCTCGCTCCATTGCTCTCGAAATGTGCAAAATGAGTGTTTACTTTCCGCTAGAACATGGAAAGATACATCGTGATGATTTTTGTGTTTTGCACAAATGTCGAGAGTGGTGGAGCGACGTCGTTTAAGGGCGTACTCACACTAGGATTGTTCTAGGTGAAGTTGACTGGGATTAGAGTCCGACGTGCGTGTATCTGATCTTACTTATGTCCATAGCTGAGTTGAAGAAAGTGATGAGTGAAGGAGGTGAGGAAACTTACCTCTAAGAGCGGCCTCCAAAGATGGCAAGAACGACTTTCAAAATGCTCGCAAAACCAGCATTGCAGACAAAGTAAACGACACACAACTGACACACGACTGGCAAGGTGACGATAACGGACACAGAAAAGGGAACGGACTCCGGCGCACTGAATGCCGACCACAACAGACACCGAAAAGGCAGCGGACACTACGGCAATCTGTGCATTTAGATCCTCGCCACACAACCTGTCGAAAGGCGAAAATGACAAAAATGTGGCAGGTGCATCTGGCCATGTTCTAGCGGGAAGTTCATTATCGTTTTGCAAATTTCGACAGCCTGTGTGGCGAGGCCCTTACAGTCGCGGGCGCTGAGCTCCATCTGTAGCCACATTTAGGAGGGAGATAGATTTTGTGTTTCCTTCATCTTGCCCAGACTTGGAGCGTCGTGACTCTGCAGGGTCCATTGACGGTTTTTGACCGTTCTAGGCCAGCGCTTGTTTATTGGGCCCTGACTCTTTGCAGCCCTTGATAGCCTACTCTTTACTTCAAGAATGACGTTACCACTTTCCCTTCCACCTGCAAAATTTAGAAAGAACCATATAGGCAGGAGAGGTGTCCCGCCCTCTCTGAAATCTTGGAAATGTGACTGACCCTCCAAACTGAACTGGTAGGGAAAGGGAGGCCCGAATAATTTTACAAGAGCAATTATATGCAAACCCAAAGAACCGACGCTCCAAAATAGGTCTTGGCGAGGAAAAGAAGGACACCCAAATAAATTTAGCCATATTTTCCCTTAGGATTTTTTTTTAAAGACTAAAAGTTATCATATGGAAGGAAAAAAAAAAAGTCATATTGAAAATCTAGCCTTCAAGCATACTAAAGCTGAAAGTTAGCGTATGGAAGGAAAAATTTAAAGTTAGATGAAAAATGTGACTTTCAAGTATACTTTCAATTTAAAAATTTTCGGTTGACTCGTATCATTGAAATCAGAAAATCCCTCGAGCTACCATAGGATTGGAAGAAGAAAATCGCTCAGATCAAATATAGAAATTCCATCAAGCTACAAATAAGATTGGAAAGAAGAAAATCGCTAGATCAACTAAGGGGTGGACAAATAGGAGAAAACGCAATAGAGAACAATTATGGTGTCCATCTGGACTTTCGACACTGATTTCTCGAACATAGAGTTCAGAAAAACGCTCAGATCGTACATCAGGAAGATGCAAATCAGAACAACGGTCAGACCGTGGATCAAGAAGATGTTAAAAAGAAAGAATTATCATATGAATAACAAGGATTGCAACGTAAAAAAGCTAAACCAATGGCACCTAACCGAATATTGAATCATCATCATCGGATGAATCAACTTAGAATGATCATGCAAGCAATACAAAATCAAGAATTCCATAACCAGAAGGAGAAATAAGGATTACAAGTTCAACAATACTAGTTACAAAATCAGACCAATATCAAGACAGACAAGCACTGTCTAAAAATCAAGGCCAAATAGAAGAGGAAAAACAACTTACCCTTGACAACCCTAAATACACCCCCCCTCTCTCCAAAATTCACCTCCTCGCTTCATCGGCTTCTCAAACAACTCGGTCGCCTGTGATTGACAACCATTCAACCAACCAATAAGACCGAACGATGATGATAATAGGACCGTAGCTAAGATTGTCGTCGCAGCATACCAAACCACGTCGCGAGAATAAGCCACTGAGCCCGCCAGCCGCCCCTCGCAGGTAGCCCGAAGAGATGAGGGGGAGTCCACGTTGCGAATGCCATCCTCCCCCTCGAACCCGTGAAACCCTTCCCTCCCCTATTCTCCCACCCACGGTATTCCTCTTCTCCACTAAGACATTGATGTGAGATGCTCTGCCCAACAACGCCCAGACACACTATCTCCCATCACCTCCTCACGTGAATCTCGCCATCGCAGCGCTCCCGCCGCTCCTTGTTTCTGCTCATCCGCAAGGCCCACCGTCGCGTGCGCCCACCTCCTCCACGCGTTGATCTTGCCGTCGCAGTGCTCTGCCGCACCTCGTTCCTACTCTCGCTGCGAAGCCCGCCATCGCGTCCAAGCGCCGGGCGGCGCAGCGCTCCCGGTAGCGCTCCGCCGCCCGACGTCCAGCTGGCTGATGCTGTCAGATACGTCCAGGTTGAATTGTGAGGTCCCCGGCCTCTGATTAAAAAAAAAAAAAAAAAAAAAAACAACTATATTCTTCTCTCAATTTCACCTCACACTACCTACCTACCACTACTCCTACTTGTAGGCATACGGGCTCCTACTTGTAGGCATACGGGGAACCCCGTAGCAGCCAGAAGCGTGTTCACGAGAGAACATACGGGGGCTGCTCCCAACCTGCAGGTGGGCGATACCGGTCAGGGGACAGCCGGTAGCATCAGGGGATAAAGCCCAGGGGACCAATCTCCTGTGCCTCCCCTCAGGTCCCCTCCCCTACGAACATCAGCAGACTCGGCTATGCCGATCGGGGGATCGGGATCCAGTGGTCTATCTCTTGGGTAGAGGGTGCCAAGTATGCCCAGGAAGGTACATAAGGCCAATGGGTATTGAACCCACGACCTCCTGAATGCCACACGCGAACCTTACCAACTGAGCTAGGGTTCGAACTCGGGTCTGTATTTCGACTGTTCAATGGTGTACCCACTGCTTTCCATCGGCATGCCGTAAAAACAAGCAAGTAGCAAGGAGGGTATTTTTGAATATACGTGAAGTTTCAGCGGGACAGCCTTGAGATATCACTCACTGGAACTGACCGGTGGCACCCGTTCATCCCTCCACGGGCACGAGTATCTTTGCGTGCTTCCCATCGGCAAGTCACAAGACAAGGACGTAGTCAGCACAGCAGCACGAGCTCCCATTTTTTGGCTAATAGAGAGGCCCTTTGGTGGCTGGCACCGCCCACGGGACGGCCACGTTGGCGGTACGGTACTGTCGAGGGTTCATTTGTAGGAGGGGGCAAGGATGCTGCTTCCTCGCCTGGCGGGAAGATGGAGCCGATGTCTGAGTCGCAGACATCGGCTCCCCGACGTCGTGTCGTCGGGAACGGCAGTCTCAAGGGAGCTAAGGGTGACAACTCCATGCGGTAGCAGGACAACTTGCGGACAAGTACCAACAAGAATAGGATGGACGGCTGCTTCGTCCGGCTTGGGACCACCACGAGTGCATCTTCCCTCAGCCACGGGATCCACGTGTCCGTATGACAGCGTGACACGTGTCACACAGTCGTTTCTTGCGACCAACAATGCCTCTGCGAAGCCTTGGGGGCGGCGCATCTTGAATGCCGTCGGATTATCTGATGCAGATCATCATCCCGTTGGTAATCGGAAGAAGCCCCCAACTCCCGCCCCCGCCGTCGCCCTGACTTTTCAGCCTCCAGTAGTGCCAAATGCACTCAGTGGCTCCAATGGGGTCCCAAGGACGGGCCCAAGGGATGGGACAACGAGGAGGGGGTACAGCTCAAAGGTCAAGAAGACCAAACTGAAGGGCTATTCATCATATAAGGAAAGATTCCGTCTTTTAGCAGACGGGTCCTTTGTGCGTCGCAAGGCGGGAAAACGACACAATGCTCATTCAAAGACAGCAAAACAGCGGCGCCAACTCAGAAGACCAACAATTGTTGCGCTTGGTCACACAGCGCCAATGCGCAAGCTAGCGTTCTCTAAATGACGATGATCCCGGCTAACACTAGACTTAACACAGCATCGTGAGCTTACCAGGTATGCAAACTTTGCGCTTGGCAGCTCTTTCGTCTTCTTTTTCGTTTTATGCAAACTTTTTTTTTTTTTTTTTTTTTTTTTTTTAATA